CCAGAATACATATAGGTTTAATTGATTTTATGATTATGAATTGATACTTGCTCATTCTAACACTCAGACAGTAGATAAAGAAGAAATTGTAAATAACCCTACGACCCAGAGACAACTCATTATCCTTCCAGCAGGACAGAATTTCTTCTTCTTCTCGCTCTCTCTCATCATTAAAGGGATCTGCTACACATGCCGGCTTCTTTTCCTTTTCTGTTTTAAAATATATAATGAGTGTCCACACAGTGTACAGCACAAAATGTTGAAATGGGTACCACCCCGAGTAGAGAGAGTACGGGATACCTTTTGTAAGGATGCCTCTGGCTCTGGTTTCCCTACATTGGTCATCTATCAATTCAGTATTAATTAATTGGTTAATTAAATAACAGTTCCTCGGTGCCCACTGTAAGCCAAGCATAGCACTGGACACAGGGACGCAGAGGTGAGTGAGACGAGCAAGCCTTCCTCGGGTGCATGGGCCTCACTGCCCCATATGCTCCATTTGTTCAAGATCTCAAAACACGAACAATCTGGACACCAGGGATAGATTTTTTTTTTTTTTTTTTGAGACAAAAGTCTTGCTCTGTTGCCTGGGCTAGAGTGCTGTGGTGTCAGCCTAGCTCACAGCAACTCCTGGGCTTAAGCGATCCTCCTGCCTCAGTCTCCCGAGTAGCTGGGACTACAGGTGCGAGCCACCATTCCCGGCTAATTTTTTCTGTAGTAGTAACTGGAGTCTCCCTCTTGCTCAGGCTGGTCTCGAGCTCCTGACCTCAAGCGATCCTCAAGCCTCAGCCTACCTGAGTGCTAAGATTACAGGAGGTGAATGCTTAAGCAGGAGGAACCAGAGTCCTGGACAGACGTTCGTCCTGTCCCTGGTTGTGATTTCCATGAGGGGGATGTTCTTTGAGGATGTGGCAATGTAGAGCTTCTTAAGCCCTTCCAAGTCATGTCTTTGTCCAGTGTGCAAGGTGCACTAGCTTGACCAGAGGGCCATTATTTGCCAGCCAGGCTCTGCCCTTTGGAGGGAGAGCAGAGCCGTCACTATTGGGTGTGAAGTTTTGCTGCTGGGAAGAAATGGGAGCGGCGCCCTGAGTGAGCCCACAGGGGCGGGAGTGAGTGAGCAGGAGCCCCGGCCTGAGCCACAGTAAGTGACAAAACCCTGCCTTTGTGATGGTTCTTTAGAAAGCTGCCTGGCTAAGGGGATGCCTCACATTCATTCATACTGCATTTAATGCTGATTAAGCTCCTACTGTGTACTGGGGGCTGTGCTAAGCATGGCAGTAGAGAGGTGAACAAAATGCCTGCTTTCAAGGTATAGTTTCTTGGGGATTTAAATAGGAGAAGAAATAATGAAATTACACAGTGCAAAGAGCTATGGGGCACAGGGAGAAGCCTTCATAGACAAGGTGGCATTTCAGCTTGGTCTGGATGTATGACAGAAGGGGAGAAGGCCATTGCAGGCAGTGGCAAAACCACCACGACGTAAATACCCGTTCTTTGTGCTTCCTTCGGGAAGGTAAATGGAGAAGAGGTTAAGAACAGGGCTGTGAGGGAGAATGGCCAGGCCCGGGTGGAACTGGGTGTTCTTTTCTGTCGCCTCCCTAAGGATTCCCCACTGCTGTCCTTCCCTTTACTGCATCCACAGATCATGACTTTCCATAGGCTCAACTCCAATTCCTCATTACCCCAGACATGAACTCATCCTGAGGTCTCGATGACCTGAAGGGGACATCCCTGTCAGGGGTATGTGCATCTGAACAGTTTTAAGAATTTTAAGCCAAAAAAAAAAAAAAATGAAGCCAAAGTTTCATTGCTCTGAATGGGTCCTTAGACATGAGGCTGAGAGCAGAGGCGCTGGCTGGGGAGGAGGCGAATTACCAAATGCCCACCTTTAGACTCTAGCCTTCAGGGCTTCGGGTAGCGTCAGTCATTGAGACCTCATGAATTCTCAGCCTCCAGATGCCCAGCCAGTCACAGGGAGGTGGCTCGTTGGCACCTGGGCCAAGAGCCATTCTCCTGCCTCGAGCGTCCTGCAGTGGTCATGGCCACACCTTCCCCAGTCCACCTGTGCCCCGACAAAACTCACATACCTACAAGTGGACGTTCTGGGCCAGTTGAACTCAAAGATCCTAGCAGGGAGTGGTGTATTGGGATTATCCGGCTAGGAAAATGCACGTGTGGACGTGGGAGCAGAGAATGGCGGTGGCAGGTGAGTGGCCACAGTCCAAGCGAATACCGCGGGTGGAGACCCTTGGAGGTGCACCTTGCCTGCGTGTGCAGCACTAAGAGCTTATTTGCTTTTGAACCTGTGGCTGTCACTTTCAGGGTCTCGGGAAGAAGACTCCATCTCACAAAGCTGTCACAGACGCCATGTAGACCCGTGAGGACTCGATAGGTCTGCACTTGAGTGAGAAAGTGCAAGTTCCCAGTCCCGCCTCCCAGGCAGGGCACTGGGCTCCCTGGACCCGCCGAGCAGGTTTCTGAGCTTGCATGGGGGGGCACTTCCAGCCAAGGAAAGTGACCCCCACACTTCTGTGAACATTTTTGTTAGGAACAAGGACAGGGGTTGATGTGAAAGAGACCCTGGTTTTGCTCCAGTTAGAGCCCCTGGCCCTCCTCCCCTACTTTTGGAGACTGGCAGGGAGACCTGCCCATGTGTCAGGGCTTCCCAAATATGTCCCTAGGAACACCATTCCCAAGAGAGATGCACTGAAAAAAGAGTTATGTGGTGAAGCAGTTTGGGAGCCCTGTTTGTGTGTCTGTGTGGGGAGGGCTGTGTGCACACTGTATACGACAGTATTAAAGGCTCTGAGAAGTCCTGCTGGGGAGAAACCTGTTTGACTTTACTTACCGCAGGCTCTCCCTCTTTGACCTGATTGCAAATTCCTGCAGCGCTAGTATTTCATGGCCTCCACTTCGGGAGCACTGCTCTGAATGCCCTCAACTTCTGTTGTCACTCGCCAGTGACTTATAGGCATGTTATCAGTTCCTTTTCTGGACCCGTCCCCTAGGCATGTCTTCACGATAGGGCGTGGATTTCTCAGTCACTGCTTCTGTCGTGTTCCCATCTTTATTTTACTGGGTGGGTCTGGGGATTCTCGGCATCTGCTCCAGTCCCAAGACAACCTGGACTGTTCAGCAGGCTTATGGGACACCGGGTCTTGGTGTGATGTCTGGTTGCTCTGCATTTCTCAGAGCGCTGGGTTAGGACCCGTGATGGGAGGGAAGGAGCATTCCCCCTGTGAGCAGTGAGCACTGGTGGCCCTGGGCAGGCTGTGTGTTGGGGGCCTGCCCTGAGAAAGTGGACGCGCAAGCTAGCGGGTGTCTGTGCTGTGTGCCTGCCGGCACGTTTCGCTCCCAGGGGCCTAGATGGCACCCAGAGAGGCTGAAGGATGAGGAGTGGCAGGGGCGCTGAGGGACTGTGTGTGGTGAGGCTGCCCTCTGGCCCGGAGGGCTTACGCAGGCACACTGGGGTGGGAGGCAGGGCTCTGAGGTCCTCAGGCCCGTCCGTTTTCAGATCCAGGGGCTGAGCACCGGGCAGCAGTGGCCATCAGAATTGTCCCTGGGGTCTGGGTGCTGTGTGAGCGTTGGAGGTGGGAAGGAAGGCCAGCCAGCTGGCCAGCTGGTGGGTGATGAGTGTGGCTTAGGGGTGCATGTGATGGCGGGAGGAGATGGCACTGCCACGTGAGGATCGGAGGACTCGAGGCTCACACACAGCCAGCCTCTCACCCCTGCAGCCTCCTGTGCTGGCACCAGGACAAGAGCAGCTGGTGGGCAGCTCCCCATTCCCTTGCATGCCCTGCCCCTCCTCAGAGACGCCCTCAGTGTCACAGCTAAGGGGAAGTCAGAGGCGTAGTCATGACCTGCCCTCCTCCTTTGCTCCCTGGGGAGGGCTCCAGGCCCTACATCAGACACAGTCAGTCTGGTACATGGGGAGACGGGAATGGTCCCTTCCTTTCCCTTCCCCTCACTTTGCAAGATCTACTACTCTTCTTTCCTGCCCAATTCCAGAATCTTCCAGAGCACAGGTTGCTCAGCAAGACCATTTACAATAGCCTGCTTTTGTTTGTCATGACATGGTTACAGAATGAAATCCCAATGTGCTGGTGATTCCCTCTTTCTCTGTTTCCTAACAGTCCCTCCCACCTCCCTCTGAGCTTGCGGAAGACCTTGGCGGGAGTTGGGGTGCTGGCACCCGAGTCACAGTCCTGCCCTTCAGAAAGGCAAAGGGAACCCCTCACGTATGTTCACAAGAATGTAACAGAAAAAAAGCCTGAATTCATTCATTTATAGTTTGGTTCCTAGAGGCCAGGACTTTGCCCTCCTGGATTCAGATTCGTGATGCATCTCTCTGTTTCATGTAGATACAGGCGCTCGGGGATAATAAGCTGGGACAAAGCAAGCTCCTTCTGGCCCCACGAAGTGTTTCTCTGAATTGGATGTTAAAATAGAAGGAAGCTCACATGGAGAGAATGGTTTCTTTTCCAAGGGCTCTTCTTTTACTCAGTTGAGCAGAGGTTCTAGATAGAGGAGGGGACTCCCTCCAGATGCGAGTCGCAGAGGGGGCAACAGGCGGCCACAGCTGGATCTTTGCTTACGCATCGTTACATAGGCCAGCGGTTTGAAGCCTGGGGAGAACATGGTATTATTGGGTTTCTTTCTCCCTTCACCTCCCTTCCATTTTCAGCCCTGGGTAATTCCTGGATTTGTCATTAAATTCGCTTTGTGTCTGGAGTGTCTGCCGTAGGCCTAACTATATTATTTAGTGGCTACGTATCTCCTTTTCTTGGAAAAGATGCTTTGTGTTGAGAGAACAACCATCAATGGCTGTGGTTTCATGTGCTAAGGACCATCCACTGTGCTGCCTGCTTGCTCATGTAAACCGTGCAAACTGCACACACACACACGTGGGCTGATAAAGTTTGTGTATCTATGTGCATGGCCATCTTGGGGGCTGCCTCCCTCTCTCCGGTGAATTTGTTCCTTAACTCCTCCTTTCCCACGCCATTTGAGTATATGATCCTGGCCACCATCATTGCCAACTGCATCGTCTTGGCCCTGGAGCAGCATCTTCCCGAGGACGACAAGACCCCGATGTCCCGAAGACTGGTACGTGCTACCTCCTTCTCACCTTCCCCACTGCCTGCGTCTTCCTGGGTTCCCTTCTCCGGGGCTTACCACGCCCCCTCCCCTCCTCCCTGTGAGTTCTGTGAGGAGTTTGCTCTTTACTGAGGGCCAGGTTAACGACAAACCCTGCTGGGGTTTGCAAGGAACCGAGGACATAACAAACGCTCGTGTGCACTGCACGCAGCCAGGCAGGGAGAAAGGACGGGCAGGGCCCATTTGCTCCGTGCTTCTTTCCTAAGGGACTTTTACAGTGAGAGGACGAAGGATGCGCCAAGCTTATGTGCATTCGTGCTCATGAACTTCCATATTCTCCTTGAAGAAATGAGTCACAGGTCTAACATATTTCCCCTAAAGAGAGCAAACAGATTGCTTAAAACCGGAAGTGCAGGCGAGCAGCTCTAGCCTGGTGACCTTCCGCCTGTGGGAAGACTCCTTCAGGGCAGAGCTGGGGCCATCGGGGACCTTCCTGGAAAGGAAGTCTAGCCCCTGGTGCGACCCCTACGTCTGTCCGTTTCCACGGCTGCTCCCCTGGGCTCTCTTGCTCTGTTGCACTCTGTGAGTCACAGAGAGTCTGCAGGCCCCGGTCCCACTATGTCCTTTAGCACCCTTGCTTCCCACCGGCATGTGGGCGGGCCCAGCACAGACATCCGGGAGGTGGCCGGGTGGGCCTTGTCTGCATCTGATAAGGCGCAGGCCTCCCCTTACTGTGCCTCTGCTCCTCACCCCCACAGGAGAAGACAGAACCGTATTTCATTGGGATCTTTTGCTTTGAAGCTGGCATCAAAATCGTGGCCCTGGGGTTCATCTTCCATAAGGGTTCGTACCTCCGCAATGGCTGGAATGTCATGGACTTCATCGTGGTCCTCAGCGGGTGAGTCCTCTTCCTCTCCCTCCTTCTTTGTGTGTGGGCCTTGGTGTCCTGCAGCGGCTGGGCAGGGAGCCCAGGGTGGAAGGACAGCAGTCTGTGGGGTGGGGACAGAAGAAGAGTTCGGGGTGAGATTCCCCCTGGGGCTGGGCCGCAGTAACCACCTCGAGGGGAGATGCCAGTGGCGTTAGGCAGAGGCCCTGGGACTCTCGGTCAGGTCTGGCCGCTGCTGCTTCTGGTTTTCCATTCTGTGCTTGGCTTGGTTGCTGAACACCCACTTCCCTGAGGAGGGTGACATTTTTGCTAATGTCACCCAAAAAGTGAGCCTTTTGCTAAAGTAAGCAGCTTGCCCTAGGCTGAGAGGCACCCCCAAGAGATGGGCCAAAAGATGCAGTCCAGTGCAGTTTCTTTGGGGGGCTGGAGAAGACCCCAGATATATCTTCCGAACTGATAATTGAGACTCACCTTCTGACGACAGAATTTTTTACGAAGTGCGGATTTATTAATAGTATAAAATTGACCCACATTAAAACATTTGATAAATCATTCCTTGGAAATTAATGCAGTAATACTCCATTAGGGCTGAATCAGTGTCATGGCAGCATATAGGACGGCAGGGCACTTTAGTTAAGTATTTGATAACTCGCTCTTTTGGAAGTGAGTAGAGTACAAGGCTATTGGGCTACCAGTGCCATGGGCAGCAAAGGTGTTGGGCCTTGGGAACATGGTGATGGCCACATCTCCCTGGGCTTTTGTGATTTCTTGTTGGCCTTTGTGTCAGATGGCTCTTGGTGCCTGCAGGAGCGGGACGTGGTCCTGCTTAGATGCCACAAGCAAGCGGCGTAATCTGGAAATTCCCTTACCTGCTGCCTGGCAGAGAGTAGTTCAAACCTCAGGAAAAGAAGAGAATGACCTAGAATGGAGCGGATGGGGAAATATGTAGCCACTTTGATGATTGACCGAGAGGGGAGAAAAGGGGCCTTGCAGGGACTAGTCAGAGGAGCGGGGCTTAGGTAAGGGCTGAGAAGGGCGAGGGCCTGGGAATGGTCGCATCTATTCATTGTCTCGTGGAAC